AGTGCATCTGTTTCATCAGCATCACCTTCAGCTGCTGTTTCTGGAGCTTCATGAACATTTGGGGCTGGTTGTGAATTTTGTGTCACACAGCCTTCCCCACTATCCTCTTCATCTGCATCATTATGCACAATATCAGGCAACTCCTCATCATCATGATCATTATTCTGTAGATCTTTTTGTTGGGCTGCATCACCTTCATGCAGTGCATCTGTTTCATCAGCATCACCTTCATGCAGTGCATCTGTTTCATCAGCATCACCTTCAGCTGCTGTTTCTGGAGCTTCATGACCAGTTGGGGCTGGTTGTGAATTTTGTGTCACACAGCCTTCCCCAATGTCCATTGTACCTTCATCAACTGGTTCTTGCAGAAAAGTGCCACCTTCAAGCAAATCTAAAATATCTGGCTCATCACAGACATGCTCAACATACACATCTATAATTCCCCTTTCATTTAAAAGGTACCGCATGTGAATAAGCTCCTGCTTACTATTTATAACCTTTACTGCTTCACCAAAATTTTCCACATAAGGATCTTTGTAATATATGTCCTTAAAATGCATATACCCGAGGCTTTTTACCCTCTCCTCTAAGTACGACAAAGTCACACGATGATATTCAATATCCTCATCATGTACTTCGCCTGCAGCATACCTAACATCCGTACTACCACTCATGCAAAAAGTGCCACTATGGTGAATTCTTAATGTCCCCATTGCTGTCATATGGGAAGAAAAAGATATAAATTAATATAAATTAACACACATTTAAGCATTAAATCTATAAATCCAGTTATTGATTACAAATTTATAAATTTAGAAATAACTAATTTACAGTAATAGCATAAATCCTAAACTAAACTAAAATTTCTTCAATACTTGTACAATCATGATTGAAATTGAATTCAACACTAACAGAAAAAGTAAAAGAAAACAAAAAAGTATAACTTTCCAGTTTAATTACTAAATAAATTAAATGAACCCTAAATCCCTAAAAAGTGACAAACAGTGCTTAAATTTGTTTTAATCCTAAATAAACCATAAATCTTAATTAAAAATCACTTCTAACACAAATCCATGACCCGTATGCTAAATATCAGTAAAAGTTAAACAAGATTTTGTTAGAATAAAAGGAAAAATACCTGTCACTGGCACCAAGAACAGTGTCAGAATCGTCTGTGCTTTGTGATCCCTTTCGAATGTTCTATTCTATTCCTTCAATGGAGATTTGTTCGGTTGGTGGGTGGAGTAAAGTTGTTTCCTTCTGTGGTCCTTTTTTGGGTTGTGGGGTTAATAGAAGCTTTTCTTTGTTCTCGACACAATGGTCGGAGTCGGACGGTTTCCTGGCATTCATCTGTCTTTTTTTTTTTCAAACCTTTAGTCAGCGGTGGGACCCACAAAAAAATTGGCAGCAGGTAAACTTCCCGCTCGTGGGGTTCCAAGTTGGCATTCCAGGTTGTCAAAAAATTCTGAGTTGGCGCTGACATGCGCATACTTGACGGAGGCCAACGGTGCACGTGCTACACGTGAGCTCCGGCGTTAAATT